TTTATCGCGACTAAGAGGAAGCGGCGACGCATTAAAAGACTTAGAGACGCGGCGCAGAGAAGAGGCGACAATTCGCGTGACAAATTTAAGCGAAGATGCGAAAGAAGAAGATCTCGCAGAGCTCTTCGGCACCATCGGCAAACTAGAAAGAGTCTTTCTCGCTAAACATAAGTCTGTCCTTCATATATATCTTTATATATATATATATATATGTCTTTGTATATCTTTATTTATGTATATATGTTTGTTTTTATATGGGAAGAGTCTTTCTTGCTAAACTTCAGTCGGCCATTTATAGCATATATAATATATATGTCTTTATATACTTGTATATATCTTTAACTGTATATAAATATATATATATGTATATATATATATTTGTTTCTAAACAGAAAGAGCCTTTCTTGCTAAACCTGAGCCTGTCGTCTATATTATATATATTTATGCATTATATATATATTTATTTATTTGGTTTTATATATGGAGAGCCTTTCTTGCTAAACACAAGCCTGCTATACACACACACATATATATATATATATATATATATGGCGGCGGGGCCCCTGTAAAGAGTGTTTCTATCTTTTGTCATAGAAGCTGTTACTGCGATCGATGCTGCTGCTGCTGCTGCTGCTGGTGCTGGTGTTTAGAGACAAGAAAGCAAGCAAGGGCTTCGCGTTTATTACTTATGCAAATAGGGAGCTGGCGGCTCAGGCCATCCGCAAGCTTAACAGACACGGCTATGATAACTTGCTGCTTAATGTAAGTATATGACGCCTCTTTCTGTTTTTCTTATTTCCTCTGTCTCCTGCTGCTCTTGCTTGCTGCTGTCTCCGTCTAATCCTGCTGCACTTGTCTCCGTTCTCTTTGTTGCGTTGCTTGTCTCTCTGTCTTTGGTTTTCGCTGCGTGTCTTTGTCTTTGTTTGTATTTCTTGTCTTTGTCTTCTTTGTCTCTGTTTAGGTTTTTTATTTGTTTTTGTCTTTATCTGTCTTCTATGCTTTGTGTCTTTATCTGTCTTTATGTTTTGTGTCTTTGTCTGTCTTTATGCTTCGTGTCTATCTGTCTTTATGTTTCATGTCTTTGTCTTTATGTTTTGTGTCTTTGTCTTTGTTTATGTTTTGTGTCTTTGTCTTTGTTTTCTTTTTCATGTCTTTGTCTTTGTTTATGTTTTGTGTCTCTGTCTGTCTTTATGTTTTGTGTCTTTGTCTTTGTTTATGCTTTGTGTCTTTGTCTTTGTTTTCTTTTTAATGTCTTTGTCTCCTTTTTAGGTTTTATTTTTATTTTTTGCTGCATTTTTGTTTTGTTTTGTTTTTATATTTTATATGAGGGCTTTTTGTCTTATCTGTTTTCATTGTCTCCTTTTTGTCTTTGTTATCGCATTAGCTAACGTGTCTTTGTCTTTGTCTCTCTTTTAGTCTGCTGCTGATGCTTTTGTTGTTGCTGTTGCTGCTGCAGCGCTGCTGCAGGAGCGCTTCACTGAGCTTGATGCTTCACTGCTTGAGCTCACATATATTTGTTTGTCGCCTTTATCTTTCTTTCTTTTGTCTCTTTGTGTCTTTTGTCTCTGTATGTCTTCTTCTTGTGTCTGTCTCTCTCTCCCTTGTCTTTCGTTTTGCTTTAACGGTGCTGCATCTTTTGTTGTCTGTACGCCTAGCTGTCTGTACACCCGAGCTGCTGTTCTGCTGCTGCGCCTCCAGGTGGAGTGGGCCCGGCCAAACAACCGCGAGAGATGAAGCAACAGCAGCAACAGCTGCTGCAGCAGCAGCAGCAGCAACAGCACCGTATGCTGCGATGGTGGTGCTGCTGCTGTGTCACCTCTTGTTGCAGCAGCACCGACGCATCATGCAGCAGCAACAGCACCAATTGCTGCAGTATTCCTGCAGCTGCTGCTCGTTACCTGCAGCAGCAGCAGCAGTAGCAGCTCGCGAGGCAGCAGCAGCAGCACTCTACAGAGGCAGTGCTCTGCTCTCCTCAACTTTGAGGCACCCGGCGTGGTGCAGCAGCAGCAGCAGCAGCAGCAGCAGCAGCAGGCGCACCTGCTGTTGCTGTTGCGCTGCAGTGGCAGCTGAAGCGATAGTAGTGGGGACAGAGAGTTAAATAAAATTTGCTTTCGTTTGTTAGTTGTTAGCTAGCTAGCTAGCTAGCTAGCCAACCAGCTCACTAGCTAGCCAGCCAACTAACTAGCTACCCAGCCAGCTAACTAGCTAGCCAGCTAGCCAACTAGTCGGCCCAACGGACTTCTGTCTCCTTGCATCTGCCTCGCTGCCTGTCTCTAGCTAGCTAGCTAACCAGCTAGCTAACCAGCTAGCTACCTGGCTAGCTGATGCTACACGGAGGCAGGCCGTGCAAGAGACGAGAAGCTCAAGCAAAAGCCCCACAAGCAGAAAAGCATCACCTACAGATGGCTAGCTAGCCAATGCTAATGCAGCCAGCTAGCTAGCCACGAGAAAAACAATCGGCTGCGTAGCTAGCTAGCTGCGGATAGACCCTGTCCAGCTGGCTAGCTAAGCCCACATTGTCGCTAGCTGGCCAGCTAGCCAGGCACACGTCTAGCCACCCAGCTGACGAGAGCCTGAAAGCTACCTAGCTAGCTATCTAGCTGTGCAGATAGATATATATATCTAGCTAACTAGCTAGAAAGGGCGTTGACTGTCAGAGCAGCTAGCCAGTTGCTGCTTCCCTCAGTATGTGCGCAGCGGTTGCTCTGCTGCCCCAGCACTCTAGGGCAGCGGCAGCTGCTGCTGCTGCTGCATTTGCTGCTACTGCTAATGCAGCTTCCGTGGGTGCTTGTCTATGAGTCAATCCTCTTCTGCCTGAGTTTTGGCTGCGTCCGCAGCGGGGTGCCTTCTCTTTTTTGCTGCTGCTGCTGCTGCTGCTGCTCTTTTTGCATGCGCTGTGCAGCGGCGTCGCTTTGCTGCCAGCGTCCCTCCCTCCTCTTGCTGCTGCTGCAGCAGCTGCAGCAGCTCGGGCTGTCCTGCTGCTCTCTGGGCTAGAAACACGCGCGACAGCAGCAGCAGCAGCAGAGAAGCTGTTTGTGCTTCTTGTCTTTCTTGCATTGCCCCCTGCCTCTGCTGCAGAGACAGCTGCTGGGAGGTCCCTGCACGCTCCGCGCTGCAGCCTCCTTCCTGCTGCTGCTGCTGCTGCTCTTGCTGCTGCGGCTGTTCTTCATGCTGTTGTTGCTCTTCATGCTGCTGCTTTTGCTGGTGTTGCTGCTGTTGTTGCTGTTGCAGCTGCGGAAGCATTGCATTGTGTTGCTGCGCTAGGGTGCTCATGTCCCTGGAGAGCTGCAGCAGCACCTGCTGCACTGGTGCTGCTTCGTTTGCTGCTTGCATGCAGTACTTCCACACCGCCTTCGCCAGCTGCTGCAGCGGGGCTGAGGTCAGATGCCCCAATTGCAGATAACTCGGCACACTGCTGCGAGCGAAAGCTGTCCTCACTTTGCTGCTGCTGCTGCTGCTGCTGCTGCTGCTTATGGGGTTTGTGGATGCTTGGCGGACGGTGGTGGCGAGCAGCAGGATGGCTCGTGGGGAGCAGCAGAGTGCGTAGGGTGGCTGAGGTGCTGCAGCAAGCAGCAGCAGCTGCTGCTGCAGGTCATCTGCAGAGGGAGGAGGCAGCGGCGGTGCAAATGCATAAGGAAGGCCCAGCTGCTTCAGCGCCTTTCCCCACAACCCCTCCCCTAAGCAGCAGCCTAAGCCCAGGTGTCTGCGCAGCTGCAGCACCTGCAGCACAGCCACACACAACGCACGCAAAACCTCCTGTTCATTCTGCTGCTGCTGCTGCTTCTGCTGCTGCTGCTTCTTTTGCTGCTGCTGCTTCTGCTGCTGCTGCTGCTGCTGCTGCACTGCCACGGCGGCAGCCAACGCGCAAACACGCAGGTAACAGCATATAAGGGAAAGCAAACACACAGCAGCAGATGCAGAGTTTAATATACTGCAACACAAAGATACTCCGACGCTGCAAGCCGGAGCAGCAGCAGCAGCAGCAGGAGTGCCCGTGCACTTGGCAGTAGCTTCACGCTTGCTGCTGTTGCAGCACGTGCAGAGCCTTTTGCCGTGCAGCAGAAGCAAGCAGGGTGCCTCGCAGCAGCAGCACAGCAGCAGCAAGTGTGAGACCCCTGCGCAATGCAGCAGCAGCAAATGCAAGGCCCCGCAGCAACACTGCAGCAGCAGCATTTGTTTACCTGCGCCAGATGGTGGCTGGAGATATCGTACAAGTCCTGCGATGCCTCTCCAATTGCTTCTGCCTCTCTGCTGCTGCTGCTGCTGCTGCTGCAGCAAATCTTCCACCGCTGCTGCACCAGACTCACGCTGCTGCAGCCGCGCCACGCAGCCTGCAGCTGCCCGCTCGCACGAGCAAGCAGCACATAACCCCCGCAACACCAAACCTGCTGCACAGGATCCGCTGCGGCTGCTGCTGCTGCTGCTGCTGCTGGGGCTGAGGATGCTGCTTCAGCTGCTCTTGATGCAGCTCCCATTGGTGTTAACCCGCCGCCTGCTGCTGCGGCACCACCTGCTGCTGCTGCTGCTGCTGCTGACGGGCCTGCTGCTGCTGCTGCTGCTGCTGGGCCTGTTGCTGATGCAGCTGGGGTTGCGCCTGCCGCATATAGAAGACTGATCTCCTCCTCACGCAAGCGCATGAAGGCTGCGAAGACAGCATCAGACACACCAGCAGCAGCAGCAGCAGCAGCACCAGCAGCAGCAGAGGCACCTCCGGACTTCGGCTGGCTGCTGGACCCTGCGTGCGCTGCTGATGCGCTACTGCTGCTGCTGCTGGGAGTAGCAGAAGACGCTACAGTGCTCCGCGGTGAAGATTCCGCGGGCCCATATGGCGACTGCTGCTGCTGCTGGAGCTGCTGCTGCTGCCCTTGGGGTGCCTTAGCAGTGGCCCCTGCGGTGTCGCTGCATGCCGATTCGTCAGCCAGCTGCGTAGCAGCAGCAGCAGCAGCAGCAGCAGTAACGGAGCCGTGTGCTGCAGCACGCTGAGCAGCACCCGTTGAAGGCGCCGCACCGGGCCCCACAGTATCTTCTGCTGCTTCGCGCAGCCAGTAGGAGTCAACCAAACGTCTTAGTGTGCTGCTGCTGCTGCTGCTGCTGCTGCTGCTGCAGGTGGCTAGCACCATCTCAAGTTCGTCCTCAGGCACGGCCTGCAGCAGCCGCTTGAAGTTGCTAACGGCATAAGGAAGCCTCGCACCAGCAGCTTTCGTGTAGCCGTACAGCTGCAGCAGCAGCAGCAACAACAGCAGCAGCAGCAACAAGTAAATGGTAGATTCAAGGAGGCGAGAGGCTGCTGCAGCTTGCAGAGAGACACGGCAGGGCCCCACAGCTGCAGCAGCAGCAGCTATCCGGCGCTCAGTACACCAGTAACGGCAACAGCAGCCCAACAGCAGCAGAGACCTTATCGGTGCAGCAACAACGGCAGCAGCAGCACTTAGGCGCCAGCAGCCGCAGCAATAGCATCAGCAATAGCCGCAGCAGCACCTTAAGCATCAGCAAGAGCAGCAACAGAACTATGGAGAGTAGCAATAGCAACGGAATCTGCATTAGCAGCAGTTACAGCAGCAGAAGCATCAACAGAAGCAGCAGCAGCAGCAGCAGCAGAACCGGGACAGGCATCACCAGCACGAACAGCAGCAGCAAGAACATCAGCAAGACGGGTAACTGCAGCACAAGCATTACCAGCAGCAGCAGCAGCAGCAGATACCGTGTGTCTTACGAGATCGAAGCAAAGAGGGGTGAATTCGATGGGCTCAGCTGCAAGGGGCCTCCTCTTTGCTGCCTGAGACCTTCCACCTTCAGCAGCAGCAGCAGCAGCAGCAGCAGGATTTAAACTAAACTCGTGCAATACGCCGCTGCTGCAGACAGCAAAGGCCTGGTAGCTGCTGCTGCTGTCAAGCCCAGCAGCGCGGCAACCCAAAGCAGCGTCCACCACACTACGACCTTCTAAGGAGCCCCGCACCTGTAGCAGCAGCAGAAGCAGCAGCAGCAGCAACAACAGAGACACTGCACTAGCAGCAAACTCAAGACGTCTGCTGCTTCTTCTGCGCCCAAAAAGGGCCACGGAGGAGCTGCAGCAGCTGCAAAACAAGGAGCAGCAAAAGCAGCAGCAGCAGAAGGAACAGCAGCGGGAACAGCAGCAGAAGCAGCAGGCGAGAACAGCAGCACCAGCAGCAGCAGCAGCCAACCTGAGTTAGAGCGAGGGTAAGGTGCCTTTGATTGGCAGCTGCTGCTGGGGGCCTCCTGAGGCCCCACTGCAGCAGCTGCCCGTTCACCAGCAGCAGCAAACCGAAGTCAGCGCCTGGGCCGCACAGCAGCTGCAGCAGCAGCAACGCACACCAACCCGCAAGGTTTTGTTGCTGCAGCAGCAAGACCACTAGTCCTAGCAGTACCAGCAGCAGCAGCAGCAGCAACAGCAGCACCCGTCCTAGGAGTACAAGCAGCAGAAGACAACACCGCTCCCCAGCAGCAGCAGCAGCAGCAGGTGAAAAAACATCCCCAGCAGCAGCAGCTCCAGCAGGTACAACAGCAACATATCCAACAGCAGCAGCAACAGCAGCAGGTCCAGCAGCAGCAGCAGCAGCAGCAGCAGCAGCAGCAAACCTTAGCAGGCTTATCCGGTAAAGGGCAGAAGAGCCTCGTCAGCCTTCGCCCTTTAACAAGCAGACCGAACTTAGCAGGAAATAAGCGAGACCTAAAGACTGCTGCATGCTGCACAGGGCTTCCCTCTCCTGATGCTGCAGCAGCTGCTGCAGCAGTTGCTGCAGCAGTTGCTGCTCCTGCTGCCGTTGCCGCTGCTGCAGGAGATGAAGCAAACAATGCTCCTGCTGCACCTCCTACTGCAGGAGATGCTGCTGCTCCTTTTGCTGCTGCCGCCAACGTTCCAGCGCCACAGTCAGACGCTGCTGGACTTGCTGCTGCTGCTGCTGCTGCTGTTGCTGCTGCTGCTGCTGATGCAGCACTTGCAGAGCGAGAAGGCCTAGCAGCAGCGTCTTCGTCTGGCAGCGCCACCAGCACGCATGGGACGTTATTCTCAGTTGCTGCAGATACACACAACTTAGCAGCAGCAGCAGTAGGGATAACGATGCAACAACACCGTTAACAGCAGCAGCAGCAGAAGCAGCAGCAGCAGCAGCAGGGAGCTTGCTCAGGTGAATGGGCGCCTCGAGGAACAACTATTTACCTCTGCTTTGCTGCTGCAGCGGCAGGCGTCCTAGCTGGCGCTGCAGCGGGCAGTGCAGCTGCTGCAGCCGCCGCTGCGAGCTGCTGGCACTCCCGCCTTTGTTGCTGCTGCTGCTGCTGCTGCTGCTGTCTGAGCTGCTGCTGGCAGCAGCAGGGGATTCTGGATCGATGTGGCAGAAGCAGTGACCTCCCCCAATCACATCATAGTTCCAGCACGCATCATCTTTGCTGCTGCTGCTGCTGCTGCTGCTGCTGCTGCTGCCGTTCGGGTGGTGGTGGGGCTGCTGCTGCTGCTGAGGAACTTTGCTGCTGCGGCGCATGCAGCAGCAGGCCGTGCTGCAGCCGAGCCAGAGACATCCATTCTCATCAATTGCCCCGAGAGAGAATTGCCCAGCAGGGTCTTGTACGCTGCAGCAGCAGCAGCAGCCTTGCTGCTGCTGCTGCTGCAGATCCTGCTGCTGCTGTTGCTGCTGCCGCTCGTGGCTTCCCCTCTCCTGCTCAACCCCAGCAACTCCTACACAGGACGAAGTAGCCGACCTTCCGGCTGCTGCTTCTGCTTCTGCTGCTGCTGCTTTTGCTGCTGGTGCTGCTGCTGGTGCTGCTGCTGCATTGAGGAAGGCGAGAGGATCTTCAGGAAGCAAAGACGAAGAAATCGTTACTTGAGAGAACCGCCGCTGCAGCGAGACCGGCAGCAAATGCCAGCGGCCCCCGTAGGCCTCCTGCCACGGGTACACCCTGCAGCAGCAGCAGCAGCAGCAGCAGCAGCGACAGCAGCAGCAATCAGCAGCACAAGCCCACAGAGCTGCCTGCAGCAGTGTCAGCCCGCTCCACTGCAGCGTGTAAACACAACGCACAGTTGGCTAGCTAGCTAGCTAGCGAAGTAGCTAGCTAGCCAGGTAGCTAGCTCAGTAGATAGCAAAGTGGCTATCTAGCTAGCTAAGTAGCTAACTATGCACCTGACTAAGTACCTAGCTAAGCACCTTGCTACCTAGCTAAGTAGCTAGCTAGATAGCTAGCCAAGCAGCTAGAGGCGGCTAGCTGGCTAGCTGCTTAGCTGTGAGGGGACCCATCCACTGCTGCTGCTACAGCGAGGCCTGCTGGCCGCCTCTTCGAACTGGAGGCTGCTAGCTAGCTAACTACCCACCTAGCTAGCTAGCTAGCTAGCTAGCTAGGGTGGAGGCTTACGGGTCTATTAAACAATATATTTGCCCGTAGTCGCTGAGGAGAGCGAAGTGCCGCGCAGCCCCACAGACTTGGCGCACCCTCACTGAAGGCTGCAGCTCAAATGGCTGCAGCCGCAGGCCCAGCTGCAGCAGCACAGCAGCAGCAGCACCACAAGGAGCAGCAACAGAAATAGTAGCAGTACTTGCGAGAACGGCATGCGTCAGATATGCAGATAAAAAAACAGCAGCAGAACTGCTGCTGCTGCTGCACCAACACCAGTTGTGTGCGTGTAAGCTTGTAATGCTTCGACTGATGCAGTTGCTGCTGCTGCTGCTGCTGCTGCTGCTCCAGTGGAGGGTTACCTTGAGACTGTTCTTGATTCCCTGTGTTGTTTGCTTGCTGCTGAGATGTCTCTGCTGCACCGCAACGCGAGAGAAGAAGCCGCCCCAGCCATATAACTCCTGCTCAACCGTATATGCTTTACTTGCATCTTCTGCTGCCGCTGCTTCTGCTGCTTCTGCTGCTTCTCCTGCTGCTTCTCCTGCTGCTGCTGCTGCTGCTGCTGTGGTTGGTGTGGCTGGGGCTGCTGCACTTTGCTGCGGCGGCTCATCTCCTTCGTCCGGTGAGGGGCCCCCACGGTCAGCAGCAGCAGCAGCAACAGCTGCAGCAGCAGCAGCAGCAGCTGCTGCTGCTGCTGCCTGGCTGTTGGGGGAATAGGCAGTAGGTGCTGCAATGAGGCTGCCTTTGGAGGCTGAATCGTGTGCGGACTCCCCTGCTGCTGTTGTGGTTGTTGCTGTTGCTGCTGCTGCTGCTGCTGCTGGGCCAGGGGCCAGGAAGCGCTTCATTTTAGTCGCCATCTTCTCAGCAGTTCACCACTACAGCAGCAAACGGGAGCAGCAGCAACGGATGATGCTGCTGCTGCTGGAGATGTTTCCTGCTGCAGTGTCCTGGTGCTGGCTTCTGCTGCTGCTGCTGTAGGTGCTACTGCTGCAGCCGCCAGCTGCTGGTGTTGCTACTGTTGCTGCAGCCGTATACTGCTGCTTTCCCTGTTGCTGCAGCTGCAGCTGCTGCTGAGTCCCTGCAGCAGCAGCTGCAGCAGCAGCAGCAACAGTAGCAGCAGCAACGGCAGCAGCAGCAGGCACCGGGCGCCCCAAGGCGGCTCCCCACAGCGTTTTACAGGGGCCTTGTAACTGCAAAAGGAATTAAACAACAGAAAATAAAGGCGAAGAAACGCTGTCTACCAGGCCCCAGCTACACGTACACCTGAAGGGGGCTCCGCCGACGCCAGCAGAACGGGGGCCCTCCCTTTGCTGCAGCAGCAGCAGCAGCAGCAACAACTGCAGCGGCAGCAGCAACACACATACAACCCCTTTAAATAAAAACCCTCCAAATTAAGGATAATTTCACTCAAAAAATTGAAAGAAGGCAGAAAAAACAGCGTGGGATCGGTTACCGACAAGACAGCAGCAGCAGCAGCAGCTGCTGCTGCTGCTGCTGCGGCTGCTTCAGCAGCGGCTGCTGCTGCTGCTGCTGCTGCCGCTAATTCATTGAGCGCATGCATCAATAGAGATTTTTACTGCCACAAGGATTTCATCGGCGCGGGAGTCTGTTCACCACTTGACTTGTTGTTATGGGGAGCGCACACTGCAGCAGCAGCAGCAGCAGCAGCAGCAGCAGCTGCAGCAGCAATTGGCTCAAGGCGAGCACTGAAGCTGCTGCGTTGCTGTCGGCCGCAGCTGCTTCTGGCCGCCTGTTGCAGCCTCTTTACTTCCCTACTCTCTAGAGGAAGAGCAAATTGTCAGAAGCTCCCTGGCCCCCTCAGTCTAGCAGCTGCAGCAGCAGCAGCAGCAGCAGCAGCGCGACTTCGCGTTGTTGCCTCGAGCGCAGCTAGCTAGCTACTGCTCTAGCTAGCTGCCGCTCTAGCTAGCCAGCTAGCTACACAGGGGATGCATACGCTGCAGCAGCGGCGGCAGCAGCCGCTGAGTGTCGGGGCAGCGCCACCCAGCAACAGCAGCAGCAGCAGCAGCAGCAGCAGGCTGCAGCACACGGTTTCAGCCACTTGTAGACGAGAGAAGAATGGTCCCACAGGGGCAGCGGCTTCCGCTGCTGTGCCACCCCACACCGCAGCAGCACGCGGCCACGTTGCAGCAGCTGCAGCAGCAAAAAAGGCTTCTTCAGCAGCAAAAAAGGCTGTTGCAACGGCAGAAGCAGCGCCTCCAGCAACAGGAAAAGCTGCAGCAGCAACAGCAACAACAACAACAACAGCAGCAGCAGCCACGCGGCCAAGGAAGGCGCAAGGTGCTGCTGCTACGGGGCAACTCGTCCGATCGCTGCCGTCAACCCAAGGCAGCAAGACCCCCCTCAAGCAGCAGCAAAAGCAGCAGCAGCAGCAGCAGCAGCAAAAGCAGCAGCAGCCCCGCTTGGATTTCCTTGCATGCAACGAGGATTGCTGCGGCATTTGTGGAGGTTTGCTGCGGCCTGGGGAGGCGTATATAACAGTGTCTGTACCGCTGAGCCCGCAGCAATTCAAGCGGTATAAACAGCTGCAGCAAAGACAGCAGCAGCTGCAGCGCCACAAGGCCACAGCAGCAGCAGCAGCAGCAGCACCTGCTAGTGCTTCTGCTCGTGCTGCTCGCTCTACTTCAGCTGGTCGGGCTGCCTCAGCTGTTCCCGCTGCTGCACCTGCTGCCGCTCCTGCAGCTGCTCGTGCTGCTGCTGCTGCTGGGGACCTGTGTGTGCCTGTGAGCTGCCACCTGTCTTGCATGCGGTGTGGGGTGTGCGGGCGTCCGGTGGAGGGGAGCGGGGAGCGTCTGGTGTACGCGTCTACAGCAGCAGCAGCAGCAGCAGCAACAGGAGCAGCAACAGGAACAACAGCAGCAGCAGCAGCAGAAAAGCCTTTGAGGGAGCTCATTGCTTCCCGGGTATTCCATGCTGCATGCATGCAGCAGCACTGCGCTGTATGTGGAGAAGTTGTGGGGCCCTCCGAAGCCTATGTACGTCTGCCTGACCGTGCAGCAGCAGAAGCAGCAGCAGCAGCAGCAGCAGCAGCAACGACGGGCAAAACAGCAAGAGCAGCGGGGGGCCCAGCTGCGACGAAGGCAGCAGCAGCAGCAGCAGCAGCAGCAAAGAACTGCAGCAAAGGCAAGGTGCAGCACGCGAGATGCACCCGCTGCAGCACTTGCGGAGAGAGCCTCAATGAAAGCATTTTTATAACAGATGGATCTGGGGGAGTGCAGCACAAGAGCTGCTTCTGCTGCTGCTGCTGCAGCAAGCCCTTGACGGGCCCCTTCGAGTCGCATGCATTTTTTGCTTCCCCCGTGCTGCTGCAGCAGCCACCACCAGTAACCCCGGAGCAGATTGCAGCAGCAGCAGCAGCAGCAGCAGCAGCAGCAGCAGGAGGCCAGCCTTCAGGAGGCACATTGGCGCTCCGTGGAGGCTGCTGCTGCCTCCCGTGCAGCAAGATACACCCGAAATGCATTGCATGCGATCGAAGAGCTGCGGTGTACGTACACATGGGGAGAGAAGTACTTCCTAAGGCCCTCAATGCAGCAGGAGAAAAACTCATGCGGCGCAGACAGCTGCCCTTCACTACCTGCAGGCGACCTGCAGCAGCAGCAGCAGCAGCAGCAGCAGCGGCGGGGCCTGCTGCTGTGTTGTGCGGCCGCTGCGCTTCGCTGCCAGCAGCAGATACAGATGATGCTGCTGCTGCTGCTGTGAGATTCGCGCTGCTGGCTTTAGAGCGCGAAGGGGTTTGCTTCTCCCCCACTCTTAGACAGCTGCAGCAGCAGCTACTTGAACTGCAAGAGAAGAAGCAACAAGAAAAAAAGCAGCAGCAGCAGCTAACCAAGCGCCCGTCTTTGATTACCCGCAGACAGCTTGCTGCTCCTCCAGCAACACCAGCAGCAGCAGCAGCAGGTGCAGCGGCAGCAGCAGCACCTGCTGCTGCTGCTGCAGGACAGTCGCACCCAACCCCCAACTCCGACCTGCCAGTCCCTGTGGTGCTAGAAGACTTCGGCACTGATGCTGCTGCTGCTGCTGGTGCTGCTGGTGCTGCTGCTGGTGCTGCTGCTGCTGCTGCTGTGGGGCGGAAGGCTTCGTCTGGTGAGGCAGCTGTCTCTCATTTGTTTGGCTGCTGCGAAGTGCTGCACCTGCGGCTGCGACCTGCGCCTCTGGCTGTTCTGCTGCTGGTGGGGGAAGTAATTCAATCCCCGCTGCTGCCTTTGCTGCAGCAGCAGCAGCAGCAGTTGTTGCTGCAACAGCGGCAGCAAGACCAGCAGCAGCAGCAGCAGCAGCAGCAAGCCCAGCAGCAACGCATAAGCAACAGCAGAAACCCAAGGCCTAGTCTCTTCCCTTCAAGGAGCAGCAGCGGTCTCCGCACCAAGCAGCAGCAGCAACAGCAGCAGCAGCAGCAGCTACTGCAGCAGGTACAGGGGTACTTGCTGCAGGTGCGCTTTGCTAGGTGTGTGAAGCTGACGAGGGGGCTGCCGCGTTTGCTGCTGCAGCAGCATGCAGCACACGAATTGCTGCACGCATTTTTCTCGATTAATCAAATTACCCCCAGCCCCAAACATATTGAAGAAGGCTGGTGCAACGTCGCAGCAGCAAAAGTCTTGCTGGCAGCATATGAAGACCTCAGCAGCAGCAGCAGCAGCAGCAGCAGAAGCAGAAGCAAGAGTAACTCGGGCAGCTGGAGCAATAGCAGCACGCTGCAGCTGCAGCAGCAGCAGCAACAGCAACAGCTGTTGCAGCACCCACAGCAGTATCCGGTGCACCACCAACAGCAGCAGCAACAGCAGCAGCAGCAGCAACAGGAGCAGCAGCAGCTGGAGCTTGAGTTGCTGCGGTACCAGCTATGGAGACTCGCAGTAAACAAAGATGAAGTGTACGGAGAGGGGTATAGGCGTTGTGTGCAGCAGCTAAATAAACAATTAACCTTAGGCGGATGCCTTAGGGCCCTGCCACGCTGCAGCAAAGTTATCACCTGAAGCACACTTGCTGCTGCTGCTGCTGCTGTTGATGTTCGCGCTGCTGCTGCTGCTGCTGCTGATGCTGCAGCTGCTAGTGCTGTTCCCCGTGCTTCGGCTGCTTCTGTTCTTGCAGCTACTAGTACTGCTCCTGCAGCAGCAGCAGCAGCAGCTCCTGCTGCTGCTGCTGCGGCAGCGGGTGCTCTAGCATCGACTGCTGCGGCAGCTGTGAGTGTTGCTGCAGCTGCGGTTTTTCTAGTTGTAATAATAGAGGGATCGAGGTGTATAGACAGCAGAATTAGCTTTCTTGTCTCCTTCATCGCGCTGCAGCAACGACAGCCCTCTTCGTTGCTGCTGTGTTGCTGCTGAGCAGCAGCAGCGCAGCCACAGCAGCAACACGGGGAGGGCCTGAATGGCGCGAGGCCTTGGTAGAGGCATTTTTGCTTGTGTACAGATTCAGCAGCAGTTGCTGCTGCGTACTTAGAGTGCAGAAACAACAGCAGAAGCTGCAGCAGCAGCAGCAAGAACAACAACATTAGCAGCAAAAGCAGCAACACCTGCAGCAGCAGCAACGGCAACAGAAACAGCAGCAGCAGCAGCAACAATAGCAGCAGCAGCGCAGCCTGAATTTAGTGCTGCTGCCGCTGATAATTGCTGCAGAAACAGCTGCAGCAGAGCTACTCCGTAGCTGCTGCCTCTACGATTCTAATGACTAAACAAGTAATTCCTTATTGATAGAAGTAAATATATAATTGTTAAAGAATAATATAATATTTACAAAGAATAAAATTTAACTTAAAAAAGAAAGTTAATAATAAACAACAAGTACAGCCATCACCCCTCAGTCAAGCAGAGCAGAAGAGAAGCAAACATAGAAATATATCTCTCTCTTTTTATTTATTGTTATTAATAAAAAGTTTATAAATAATTAATTTATTTTTATTTTGATTTATTATTTTTATTTTCAATGTTAGTTTCGCTGTCTGTTGCTGTGGGCGTCTGTCGCTGCAGCGGTGGTGACCTTAGAAAGAGAACGAGAGAACAATTTGTTTGTATTTTTTCTTCTTTTTTCTTTCCTTTTTTGAAATAATTAATATTTATTCCTTTGAAATTATTATATTTTAATCCCGTTTTAATTTAATATCCCTGAGGCCTATATTTGCTGCTGCTGCTGCTGCAGTCAAGCCACGCTGGCAGCATCGATGCTGGCTGCTGCTGCTGCTGCTGCTGCTCTGTTTGTCTTCTCTTTTTTTTGTTTTGTTATTTTGTTTAAATTAATTTTTTAATTCTTTTTAAATTATTTTCTCCTTCTGCTTTACTTTTAGGGTTTGTTTGTTGCTGCGCTGTCGGGAGAATCACTTTGCTGGCTCGATACATATAATAATATATATTTATATTTATATATTTATATTTGTATATATATATTTATATTTATATTATTAATATAACTTATATTTATATTTTTTATATTTATTTTATCTATATTTATATTTGCATTTAAATTATTATTCATATATTTGCTTCTCTCCTTTTGTTTGTATCGATTGAAATTTCTACGCTTTTCTATTGCCTATCTCGTAGTGAAGCAGCTGCAGCAGCAGCAGTAGCAGCAGCAAGCCCCACAGCATTGCTGCTGCTTGCTTCTGTGGCCAGTGCTGCGTCTCGCTGCAGTCCTCGCAGCAGCAGCAGCAGCAACAGCAGCATCTGCAGCATCCGCAGGAGCAGCAGCCTCAGCAGCAGCCTCAGCAGCAATAACAGCTGCAGCAGAAAAATCAGCAGCAGCATCAGCAGTAGAAGCAACATCAGCAGCAGCACCAACAGTAGCAGCAGCAGCATCAGCAGCAGCAGCAGCAGATTCAGCAGCATCAGCAGCATTCGCAGAAGCAATATCAGCAGCGGTCCCGCCAGCAACAGCAGCAACAGCAGCAGCAACAGCATCAGCAGCAGCATCATTATCCGCAGCAGCAGCAACATAAACGCAGCAGCAGCAACATAAACGCAGCAGCACTGCGTTTATGTTTATGTGTGAATGTAACATTGATTTGCTGTTTTAATTGTTTGTCTCTCTTTTATTGAGATGGGGCGGTCTGCTGCTGCTGCTGCCGCAGCAGGATGTCCTCTCCCTGGCGAAGCAGATTTGCTGCTGGCTGCTCAGCTGCGGCAGCAGGAGAGACGACGCCTGCTGCAGCTGTTTATTGATTTAGACAGAGACAACAACAAAAAAATTAATGCAGCAGACATAGCACAAGCAATGAAACGAGACGGCATTATGCTGCCCCTTGCGGAGATAGAACGCTGCGTCTGGTGAGCTGCTGCTGCTGCTGCTGTTGCTGCTGCTGTTGCGGGTGCTGCTGCTGCTGCTGCTGTTGCTGTTGCTGTTGCTGTTGCTGCTGCTGTTGCTGTTCCTGCTGCTGCTACTATAGCCCGTGCTGTTGCTGTCGTTATTGCCGCTGCTGCTGCTGCTGCTGCTGCAGACAAATTGTTCTGCACGTGCATCATTTGCATGCGCAGCAACTCTGACGGCTGCAGCAGCACTGGAAGCAGCAACAAACCAAACAAATGCAGCAGCAGAAAGCTGATGGTAGTGGTAGTGCTGGTGCTTTTGCTGCTGCTGCTGCTGCTGCTGCTGCTGCTGCAGTTGCTGCTATTCATGGCGTTGTCTCTTTTGTTACCGCTTGTAATGCTGTTTGCTGCTGCTGCTGCTGCTGCTGCTTTTGCTGCAACTGCTTTTGTTTGTGCTACTGCTGCGTGCTGCTTTTGCTGCTGCTGCTCCTGTTGCTGCTGCTGCTGCTGCTGCTGCTGCTGCTGTTTGTGTGTGTGCCTGTGTGCAGGGAAGCAGATTCAAACGGCGATGGGTATTTGGAGTACTTTGATTTTCTTTGTTTATACAGCCGGCTTAAATGCAGCAGCAGCAACAGACGAGAGGCGCAGCTGCTGCAGCATTACGTTCTTTACCGTTTGATAGTGCAGCAGCAAGCAGCAGACAAAGGCTTTGTTTGCTTCGATGAAGCGCTTCTCTTCTTGTCGCAGCTAATGAACAGAGAAGCAGCACTTAAAAACCTCTACAACTTGTTCGGAGGAAGTGCAACCAAGTGTAGGTTAAACCAGCAGCAGCAGCAGCCACAGCAGCAGCAACGGCAACAACGGCGGCAGCACCAGTAGCAGCAAGAGCAGCTGCAGCAACAGCAGCAATAAGAGCAGCATAAACGGCAGCAATAAGAGCAACACAAACTGCAATAACAACAGCATCAACGAGAGCAGCAGCAGCAGCAGCAGCAGCAAGAACAATAGCAACGGCAACAACAAGAGCAGCAGTAGCAGCAACAGCAGCAGCAAGAAAAACCGCAGCATAACGGCAGGAGCATCAAACAAAGTAGCAGCAGCATCAACAGAAGCTGCAGCAGCACCAGCAGGAGTCAACGAAGCAGCAGCACCAGAAGGGGAAGGAGCAGCAGCAGCAGCACTAACAAAAACCGCATCAGCAGCACTATGAACAGTTGCAGCAACAGCAACAGCCGCAGCACCAGAAGGAGGCACCTTAGAAGCAGCATCAGCCACTTCAGCAGCAGGATCAGCAGCAGCAGCAAGATCAGTAGCAGCAGCAGCAGCAGCAGCAGCAGCTCTGTGGTCTGAATGGAGGTGTTGTCGATATATTTGCTGCGGTGTATGTGCAGCTTTAAAAGCAGCAGCATGGCTGCGTGTCTTAGGCTCTGCTCTTTGGGAAGAAGCATCGCCGTTAGTAGATGAAGTGCAGCAAGAGAAGCAGCAGCAGCAACGCATGCAAAGGCCCTTCGCCAGCAACTTCAAGCCCCAGTCCCTCTTAGACAATAAACTTAATACTAACAAACTCGTCAGAACAATCATGCTGCTGCTGCTGCTGCTTGTGCTGCTGCTTGTGCTGCTGTTGCTGCTGCTGCTTGTGCTGCTGCTACTGCTGCTGCTTGTGCTGCTGCTGCAGCAACACTGCACACTTTACAGCAGCAAATGAAGCAGCCAGAGCAGCAGCAAATGCAGCAGATAGGTGTACTCGCTGCAGCAAACGCAAAAGCAGCAATTGCAGCAGCAACATGGGCAACAGCAAGCGCAGCAGCCAGTGCAGCACCAAGCGCAGCAGCAGATCCTGCAGCAACTGCAGCAGCAGCAAGTGCAGCAACACGAACTGCAGCAAATGAAGCAGCGGGAGTCAGAGTATTGGTGTTTGCTGCTGCTGCTCTCTCTCTGTGCGATGCAGCAAGAAGAGTATCAGCAAGCGAAGGCTTCTTTGCTTCATTCTCAAGCTGCTGCGATAGCAGCAGCAAACGAAGGGGCCCCTTCTGCTGCTGCTGCTGCTGCTGCTGGTACTGTTGCTGCTCCTTTCAATCGCTTTCAGTCAACACATGCAAACAAAGCAGCAGGCAGCAGCGTAAAGAAAAACAACCAGCAGTAGCAGGTCTGACGCAACAGCTGCTGCTGCTGCTGCTGCTGCTGCTAGTGCTGTTGTTGCTGCTGCCGCTGCTGTTGTTGCTGCTGCTGTGCTGCTGCTGTTGCTGAAGCCTGTCGCGCTGCCTTGCCGCTGTTGCAGTGCAACAGGCGGCAATGCAGCAGCTGCTCGGCTGCAGCCTTAGCCTTTAAGAAAATCAGCAGAACCTCTCCTAAACCCTAAACCCTAAACTCTAAACCCTTTTTAATTACAGCTGGCGGCAGACTGCTGGCGATTGAATCTGCGCAAGGAAACCCTAAGAAGAAGCTGCAGCTACCCTGAATGAATTTAGGGTTTAGGGTTTAGGGTTTAGAGATCAGGGTTTAGGGCTGCAGAATTAGGGTTTAGGGTTTAGGGTTTACGTCTTCAGTTGCTGCTGCTGAGGAAAGGCGAGGAGTACGAAGACAGAAAAAAACAAAATACAAACAAAACAACAAAACAAATAATTAATAATAATAAATAAATAAATAAATAAAAGTGCTGCTGCAGCAGCAGCACGTACAACAACAGCAGCAGCAGCAACACCAGCAACTGCAACAGCAGCAGAGCTCTGATGTTTGGTTCAATGCTGGCAGCAGCAGCAGCCGAGCAGCAGATGAATAAGCAGCTATTTGGTTTACCTAATGAACGCAGCACTAGCAGCAGCAGCAGCAGCAGCAGCAGCAGCAGCAGAGCTCTAGTGTTTAGTTTTATGTTGGCAGCTATTTGTTTTCTCTACTGTATGCAGCAGCACCAGCAGCGGCAGAGCAGCATACGCATTATCAGCTCTTTAATTAGTATCTGCAGCAGCAGCAGCAGCAGAAGCAGCAGCAGCAGCAGAAGCAACAGAGCAGCAGATGCATGAGCAGCAATTTGTTTTATTTGAGGTTTGCGGTGTATAGACCTCGCAAAAAAACAAAAAGCCAAGCGAAAATCTCCCTGCAGCTGAGCTGCACAGACACCCCAACTGCTACTGCTGACAGCGCCAGTTGCCGCTGCTGCTGCTGCTGCTGCTGACAGCGCCCGTTGCTGCTGCAGCTGCTGCAGCAGAAGCCATAACAAAATAGGTGTGCTCCTGCTGCTGCTGCTGTAGCTGCATCTAAAATACAAATAAAAAATTCTGCTGCTGCTGCGGGTAACAGCAGCAAAGCCAACAACCTGTGAGTCTCCTTTCGTCGTTGCTGCTGTTGCTGCAGCTGTTGCTGCAGCTGTTGCTGCTGCTGCTGCTGCTGTTGCTGTTGCTAGTTTAGGGAGATATCTTCCCGAACACCTGCCTGCAGCAGCAGCAGCAATGGCAGCAGCAGAAGCGGCAGAGACAGCATAAGCTGTTCTCCTGGAGGGGCCCTGATTATCCTCTAGAAGACTGACGCTGCTGCTGCTGCTGCTGCATAACAGCAGCAGCAGCAACAGCACCAAGAGCGACAGCAACAGCAGCAAGAGCAGCAGCAGTAACACGAACAGCGGCGGCAGCAGCAACACCAAAAGCGACAAGAACAGCCGCAGCACAAACGATAGCAGCGGCAGCAGCAGGAAGAGCTGCAGCAGCAGCAGCAGCAGCAAAAGGCGAGAATTACAGCAGATGGGGAGGCGGCTCACTTGTCAACAGCAGCAGCAAAAGCAGCAAGATTTGGAAATGGCAGCAGCAGCAGCTCAGGTAGTGCTGCAGTTCCGTGTAGCTGAAGCAGCAACAGCAGCAGAAAAAAACAGCAGCAGCAATTACACCAGCAGCAGCAGCAACAGCGCGAACAAGGACACTGCTCAGCAGCTTGACAGCAGAAGAAGCTACAGCATGCAGCAGCAGCAGCAGCAGGCTGCTCCCAAACACATGCAACAGCAGCAGCAGCAGCAACAGCGACAGCAACAGCAACTGGGGAGACACAGCAGCAGTACGCGTAGCGAAATTGCAGCAGCAGCAGCAGCAACAACAACCGCAGCAACAGCAGCAGCAGAAACAGCAGCAGCAACAGCAGACGCACGAACTGCAGCTCTTTGAGGTCTGACAAGCAGACGAGCAGCAGCACTTCTTCGTCTTCTCTTTTCTTTTGCTGCTGACTTGAACGACGCAGCGGCACTGCAACAGGAGGCCTCAGCCAGCCGCACACTCGATACTGTGCATACACCTCAGTGCACTGCAGCAGCAGCGCCAAGTCCTGCACGCATACGAAGCTGCAGCAGCAGCAGCAGCAACAGCAGCAGCAGCAACAGAAGCAACACCGACATCTCAGCACACACACTGCAGCCTCACTCCCCAGCCTCTT